CTAAAGAATAGGCACTAGTACTAAAGATTAAGCACTAGTCGCTAATGAATAAGTACTAGTACTTAATGGAATAGATACTAGTATCTAAAAAATAAGTACTAGTAGCAAGAAATTAGAGACTAGTAGGTTAAAATGATTAAATGTTAAAACGGCTTGCCATATTGGCTCAGAGAGAGAGAGAGAGAGAAAATGACCAAGGAAAACAAATATATTGTTCTGAAAGAGAGAGATTTTTTTTTTCTTAGCCCACACTTTTATTAGGTCAGTGACAAAACCCCATCATTGCATCATCTCACCAACAATCAACACAGCAAAACGCACGCACTCACACGCACACACACACACACACACACACGTGTCAAGTCACTTACATTTTAGATGCAATATTGACTGTTCTTCTGTTTCAGCAGCGAAAATAGTTAAACAAAGATCACAGCAGAACCATTGCATCTCACAGCAATGTGTTTTCTCATTACTGAATGATTCAGCATTTTGAACAAATTGGTTGACTCAAAGATTCAATGACCAATCCATAAACATCTGTCTCATTCATGAATGACTCAGTCGTTCAAACGAATCGTTTGAACGAATGAATCAATGACCCGCTCATTAAGACGGTCGCCTGGCGACACCTAGTGACGGTTTAGTGTTATTTGATTATACACTCAAAATATTCCACAACAAATCCTTTAAATTTAATGATATTCAGAACAGAACACGAATAAAAAAATAACTATAATAAAGCCAAAACGAAATAATTTAAAACAAAAGTAAAAGTAAGTGGTGTTAGGCTCACGTAAATCTCTCTTTAGAATCTAAATGTTGCAACATTTGCGATGTATTTGGATGCTAAACTATTCTTTATTACAGGCTTTGTACTTCACTCACGTTCCAATATCGACGGAAAAAATCATCCTCTTCACTTGTGCAAAAATGTGCTTGGAACTGTGAATGATACAAATTGTACTACTGACTATTTCAACATAGCAGTGTAATTTGTATATGTTAGGTTGAATGTTTTATTATTGTGTGTGTGTGTGTGTGTGTGTTTGTGTGTGTGTGTGTGTGTGTGTGTGTCAGTGTGTGTGTGGGGGTCTGGGTGGCTCAGCGCGATTGAACAGTGAAACATACTCCGTCATTTTCTTCATACAGGACATCATTCAAACGTCAAAGTGTTTACTTATATTTGTGTACACTCGCAATAAAACACAACATTGTGTTTTTGTTAAATAAATTAAAGTAATACGTCCCCCGAAATGGCGCTAATTTTAAAATGAAACTAAAATGCTCACGGCTGCACGGGCATTCATAACTCTGCGCGCCCACGGTGAGGGACGAGCAGAACAGAGCGAATGTTGTTTAGTTCATTCCTACTTCCATAGGAATTAATTGAAAAAGCTCACTCTACTCTGCACCATTATTAATGAATTGTGCAGACGTCCTTATTTTACTTTCGCTTTTTACCTGATTTTGAACACAAGAGGGCAGTATAACACTATGTATGATTTGGAAAAAAAATTTTTTTGACTAAACAACCATTCTGGCTGTTTTTAAACTTAAACATTATTCTCTAATTGCTCTCACCATGCCCGTTTCTGAAACTCTGCACATGTCTACTGTCTAATAAATGTGATGTGTCTGTCTGGTTTCATGCAATTTCAAGTATGTTAAGAGTCTCAAAAGCATCAACAAAGAATAATAAAGTTCCAGCACTTCAAACCTCAAATATTATATAAATAAATATAAGAGTTCAGATGCAAACGCCTCTAAGTGCCATTTGAAATTTTCTTCTAGAATGATCATTTTTATGAAGCTTGTATATTTAAGTTCAGTAATTTCACTCAAATGACAATTAATAGGTAATCTTCATTGCCATTTAAGTGAAATTACTGAACTTAAATATACAAGCTTGATAAAAATGATCATTCTAGAAGAAAATTTCAAATGGCTTTTGCATCTGAACTCTTCATATATTTAAATGTTATTTTTAATGTGATGACCAAAACATTATTTGTTCATCCTTCAAAGATGACCCCCATTTATAAACCTGAAAGTTTCAAGATGTAGGAAAACTCACACTTATTTAAAAAATATTTTTTCTTTTAACAAATAGGAAATTTCTCTGGCATTTCTTACTTTTTGCTGTATCGAAAACGTACCGAACCGTGACTTTAAAACCGAGGTACGTACCGAACCGTGATTTTTGTGTACCGTTACACCCCTAATATATATATACATAAATATATATATATATTGTTTTTTTAAGAGACAAGACAGAATATTACTTGCCTGATCTGATTAGAAAAATAGTGTTTGTGTGTGTGTGTGTGTGTGTGTGTGTGTGGCGTAATTGAACAATGTAGACATAAAGACATACTCCGTCCTTTTGTTCATACAGGACATTATTCAAACTGCAAAGTGTTTACTTATATTTGTGTACACTCGCAATAAAACACAACATTGTGCTTTTGTCAAACTATAAACTCTTGTCAAACTGTAAACTACAACTGTCACCCAACCAAAATCTCTTACACACACACACACACAGTTTAAAAGCAAAAAATATCAAACAATCCTATTTAAAAACAGTCTGTGGGAGCCATCTTTTGGACATTCATCATATCGCATTGGTTTTCATTTCTTGTCATCAAACAGAGCCCTAATCTGTTTATTTTTTCAGTTACACATTCTATATTGATTAAAAAAGAAAAATCAAAGGTGTTTTTATTTTATACAGAAATAAATAATCTATCATTCAGATGAGAATAAAGTTAGTGTTAGTTCAAATTTTAAGGAAAACAAATATATGATCTGAAATATAGCACATTCATTTATAATTCATTCAGGTTCGATTACCAAACATACAATCTTAATGTAATTTAAAGCAAACAATACATTTAAAATATATGGGTTGTATGACTATTTTTTAATATAAAAAGATATATATCCAAAAAGACAAGGCCTAAAGTTTAACAAGGGTTAAACTCTTATCACTGTAACAGACACAATCACACACACAATCACACACACACACACAAGTCAAATCACTTACATTTTAGATGCAATATTGACTTTTTTTCTGTTTCAGCAGCGAAAATAGTTAAACAAAGATCACAGCAGAACCATCGCGCATCTCACAGCAACGCGTTCTCATTACTGAATGATTCAGCATTTTGAACGAATCGGTTGACTCAAAGATTCAATGACCAATCAATCCATAAACATCTATCTCATTCATGAATGACTCAGTCGTTCAAACGAATGAATCAATGACTCGCTCATTAAGACGGTCGCCTGGCGACACCTAATGACGGTTTAGTGATATGTTTAAAAGTATCATTCTTTCCAACGATTGTTAATTAACTCATATTTGAAACATAAGCTATATTTATATATATACATACATATACACACACATACACAAAAATAAAATAAAAACACATTTGAAACGTGTTTGCTTACTAAATTGTGAGCTGAACGAAAGTTGCAGCAAATATCAGCAACAGGAGTCAAATTTCATTAATCACGAGAGTGAAGAGCTGACTGAAAAGATGATGACGGAATAGGCTATTTTGTGTAAAAACGCCTATTTAAGCGAATCTGTCATTGTACTCTTTTATTGTTGTGTTTTCCGTGAAAAATAATAGACTATTGAACTCACAATTCAAGCAATCGGCCCCCGAAATTGCACTAATTTTAGTGACACTAAAAAGTATGCGGCTGCACTGGCATTCATAACGGTGCGCGTCCATGGCGACGAGCGAGCAGAACAGAGCGAACGTTTAGTTAATTTCTACTTCCATAGGAATTCATTCGAGCGCGTCCATATTATACTTTCGCTTTCAAGTTAGTGTTTTTAAACCCCCCAGCGGGAGGTTTACACAATTGGTTTACACAATCACACGTTGATTAACCGGTGGGAAAATATTCCCATAGTAACATCCCTAATATATAAATATATATAAATTCAATAGGCCTACCTGATTTTGAACACAAGAGGGCAGTATAGCACTATATATGATTTGGATTATTATTATTTTTGACTAAACAACCATTCTGGCTGTTTTTAAACTTAAAAATAATTCTTAAATTGAAAAAAAGGAATAAAATGGGTTTAGTTCTAATATTTGTATAATTTTATATAAAAATAAATGGTGTATAATTACATTTTAGAAAGATATGAGACATGCCCTGATTCTTTTTTTGACATTACTTGAATCCCTCAACCATAGCAAAACTGTTTGAGATATTCAATATCTGTTCACAATTTAGCATCTTCAATGTATTTTCATCATGTTGAAAAAGTTTGGCATGAATAAAATAAACTACTTAGGAGGAGTAGCTAAAAACTCAGAATCTGAAATCCACATTCAAACCAAAATATCTGACTTCCTGTTGGTCGTAGCTAATTACGGTAAATTAGAAAGTTGTCCGGCTCGAAGAGTACAATATACATATCGAGTTTTGTTACTGTAGATAAAACTAACCCCCCCACTTTTGTCAAAAGCATTTAGAAAGTGACACACTTCCTGCTGCCAGTTGGTGGCGCTATAACTTTGACTCACAATAGTCACATCCATGTGATCGGCCTCTTACAGCGAACACACTGTTGAAGTTTCATCAAGATCAGTTAATGTATGCAGAAGTTATAACACACTTCCTGTTTCCATTATTCGCCATAAATTTGTTTCCTCGCCACGGCCAAACCGTTCGAGATATGAAAAATCCCCTGGCAATTTTTCATCCTCATTAGCTGCATCTCTAGACACAGACTTCTTATTGTGACCCTTTCGTCGCCGACGTCGAGTTAGAGGGGTTAATGGAACGAGGGAGATGCCACTCTCTGGTGGGCCATCATCCTCCAAAACAATCAACAAAGTGTCCTGTGCTCTCCACACACCGGCTATAGTTGGAGAGGAGAGATTTGGCTATAGGGTGATGTGTGGCTAACTTACACAGAAGAGACTTTGTTGCTCAGCACATGAAAATAAACTACTTACCGTGATCTCAGACTGTGTTTACGTGGTTTCTCCACTGTGTGGATCTTCATGTGTAGCTTCAGGTGACTTTTAATAGAGAAACTCTTCCCGCACTGATCACACGTGTGCAGCTTCTCTCTGCAGTGGATCCTCTTATGTGTTTTCAGATGTGCTGATCGACTGAATCTCTTGTCACAGTGTGAACACTTGTGAGGTTTTTCTCCAGTGTGGATCCTCTCGTGTGTTTTCAGAGATGATGACACACTGAATCTCTTGTCGCAGTGTGAACACTTGTAAGGTTTTTCTCCAGTGTGAATTCTCTGGTGCTTTTTTAAACTGTCCGCTCTAGTAAAAGTCTTCTCACACTCAAAGCACATGTACTCTCTCACACCAGTATGAATTTTCTGATGTCCGTGTAAAGATTGCAGCAGTGAAAAACTCTTTCCACACACAGAACATGAATGCGGCTTCTCCTTCGTATGAACTGTCAGGTGTTCCTTCAGGTTCGATGCCCTAAAAAATGTTTTACCGCATTGATCACATGAGAACGTCTTCTCTCCGGTGTGGATTATCATGTGTTTTTTAAGGGATGATGAGTCAAGGAATCTCTTCCCGCACTGATCACAAGTGTGCAGCTTCTCTCCAGTGTGGATCCTCTCATGTGTTTTCAGATTTGATGACTGACTGAATCTCTTGTCACAGTGTAAACACATGTAAGGTTTTTCTCCAGTGTGGATCCTCTCGTGTGTTTTCACAGATGATGGCATACTGAATCTCTCATCACAGTGTGAACACTTGTAAGGTTTTTCTCCAGTGTGAATTCTCTGGTGCAGTTTTAAATTGCCTGCTGTAGTAAAAGTCTTCTCACACTCAAAGCACATGTACTCTCTCACACCAGTGTGAGTTTTCTCATGTCTATGTAAAGTTTGCAGCAGTGAAAAACTCTTTCCACACACAGAACATGAATGCGGCTTCTCCTTCGTATGAACTGTCAGGTGTGTCTTCAGCTCTGATGACCTAAGAAATGTTTTTCCGCATTGATCACATGAGAACAGCTTTTCTCCAGTGTGGATCATCATGTGAACATTAAGGTTTGCTGATTGACTGAATCTCTTCCCGCACTGATCACATGAGAACGGCTTCTCTCCGGTGTGGATTCTCATGTGAAGATTAAGGTTTGCTGATTGACTGAATCTCTTCCCGCACTGATCACATGAGAACGGCTTTTCTCCGGTGTGGATCCTCATGTGATGCTCAAGATGTTGTTTGGTTGTTAAACTGTTTCCACACTGAGTGCAGGTGAAAGATTTCTTGGCTCGTCTTTTCTTTAAAAATGTCTTTTTAGTCTTTGAGCGACTCAAAGGTTTTCCTCCAGGTTGGACATGATGTTCCTCCTCCACTTCACTCAGTTCTTCTCTCTCCTCGCTCTCTTCCATCAGGTCTGAAAAAATAGTACATTTAATTTTCAGTACATCTAAATAATTCAAAGAAAGAAATATAAAGTGAAAGGAGATGAAAGTGAGGCCTGATGTAATGTAGAAAGTAGACAACTGCTATAAAATATTATGATAATTTCATGGCTTTTTATAAATTGATTACGTGTCATCGAAACTTTCCATAAATAAGGAAAATGTATCTTCCAATTATTATTTTTTAAAACATTATTAAATATATTTGATTAATGACACAATTATCTAACATGATATTAACATTAATTAAAATATACAATACTGCCATGTTTTGACACCAACTTTGAGATTGATATTTATTTGACTAAAAACATTTTAATTATTAAATCAGTGCCTTGTTGATGCTAGAGGTCAGAGGAGAATGGGCCGACTGATTCAAGCTGATAGAAGAGCAACTTTGACTGAAATAACCACTCGTTACAACCGAGGTATGCAGCAAAGCATTTGTGAAGCCACAACACGCACAACCTTGAGGCGGATGGGCTACAACAGCAGAAGACCCCACCGGGTACCACTCATCTCCACTACAAATAGGAAAAAGAGGCTACAATTTGCAAGAGCTCACCAAAATTGGCTGGAAAAATGTTGCCTGGTCTGATGAGTCTCGATTTCTGTTGAGACATTCAGATGGTAGAGTCAGAATTTGGCGTAAACAGAATGAGAACATGGATCCATCATGCCTTGTTACCACTGTGCAGGCTGGTGGTGGTGGTGTAATGGTGTGGGGGATGTTTTCTTGGCACACTTTAGGCCCCTTAGTGCCAATTGGGCATCGTTTAAATGCCACGGCCTACCTGAGCAATGTTTCTGACCATGTCCATCCCTTTATGGCCACCATGTGCCCATCCTCTGATGGCTACTTCCAGCAGGATAATGCACCATGTCCCAAAGCTCGAATCATTTCAAATTGGTTTCTTGAACATGACAATGAGTTCACTGTACTAAAATGGCCCCCACAGTCACCAGATCTCAACCCAATAGAGCATCTTTGGGATGTGGTGGAACGGGAGCTTCGTGCCCTGGATGTGCATCCCACAAATCTCCATCAACTGCAAGATGCTATCCTATCAATATGGGCCAACATTTCTAAAGAATGCTTTCAGCACCTTGTTGAATCAATGCCACGTAGAATTAAGGCAGATCTGAAGGCGAAAGGGGGTCAAACACAGTATTAGTATGGTGTTCCTAATAATCCTTTAGGTGAGTGTAGTTTGACAGGGCGCAAACAAGGAGAGAGAGAGAGAGAGAGAGAGAGAGAGAGAGAGAGAGAGACGCGCGCGCGCACTCTCTTTCACGTCTTCACACAACACAAGCGCTGTCTTGCTCTCTCTCCCTCGCGCATATTAATCAAAATCAATGGACATGATAGTAAAAGGTTCGTTTCTTTATAATAGGTATGCTAATCACAATCATATAGGCTACCATCTGGGCCTGCACAGCGGCAGGAAAAAGACGCAGATATGTAAGACACCGTGTCTCTACCTTACGATGATTTTGGTACACCAAAGGTAGATTTGCGCTCTGGAGTTCGGCTGATAAACTCTGACATGAGCTAACTAATTATATTGCTATAGGGCTGATATTGATATAGACTAACGTTATATCACTAGCAGTTTTTTAGACGGTGTTTTTTTGTGCTGCGTAGGCTGAATCGTAATCGCGTGATTCGCGTCAAGACACTTGATTGGCCAATACTACACACTGAAGATAAATTAAATAATTTTTAATTAAATAATTACTAAAAATATCCCTCTCTTCATCCCACACCCCAAACATGACATACAAAATGTTGTGGAACAGAAACAACAACCAGAGATATATGTATAAGCTATCATTTGTTTGTCATCACAGTTTGCCAACAGGGGGTGCTGCAGCACCTGGCGAGTTCTTCTATCCGCGAGTATCGGCGAGTTCTTCTATCCGCGTACCGATCCGATACCATTTTCTTAAACAATAACTAGTTATGCACGCTAGCTTTGCATAACGCTGCAAATCGGAGCTCAATTCTTCTTCGCTGCTCTAAACAGTGGTTGCTTGTGGCAACACAGGAAGTCGTGCTGTTGCCACACAAGCAACCACTGTTTAGAGCAGCGAAGAAGAAAACGCGCGCGCGCTCTGCAGTATGTCCGCTGTTTAGCAGTATTTCAGACTGGACAACCAGCTAGTAAAACGGCGACATGTCTCATATGCCATACTGCAATTTCGAGGGGTGGAACAAGTATTAGCAACTTCAAGTAACACCGAGTAACCCCGCAGAACACGATTACACAAAGGCAAGGGCAGAGAAGAATGAGCCGCGCCAGAATCAACAATCTCTGAAAGCTTCATTCAAACGAAGAGAAATGTTTTCAAAAGACAGCCAACGAGCGATCATAAATATAACCGACAACATGTAAGTTTATTATTCTGGATGACCAGCCGATGTCAAAACTGAAATGCCGTTTATTTAACAAAACTGTTTATGGACCTTAAATTATAAAAAGATAATTTTCTTATATTATTCATATCATTTTTTTAGATTCCTAGATTTATTTGTTGCACTTTTTTATACAGTTATATATTGTAAATCTAAAATACCTTTTTTCAGTTTACAGTATTAGATGTGTGGCTGCATTTTAAGTTCTTTTTCATTTAAGAAATATAAATAATATATTGCTGTGAAATGTATGTCAGATAATAAAAATACTCTAGTTCACTCTATGTATTTGTTCATGTTTAATTAAGGGATAAGTCTGAAGCACACCATAAAAAAATTCTATCAATTCATACAGTGCTAGTATGAATTGCAGCTGTATAGATACTGTACAGACCCAGGTATCGGATCGGTACTCGGTATCGGCCGATACCCTGAGTCCAGGTATCGGAATCGGTATCGGGAAGGGAAAAAGGGTATCGGAACATCTCTAACAATAGGCGACCCACAGCTCACACCACTGTCAAAGTGGTTTAATAAAAGACATGATCATTCAAAACCCCCCTGCTGAACGAGGGACTTTGTAACCACAGGGCACCACCAAGTGTTTAACAAAGTGCTGTACACGGATATCCTACATCAATGATACATACAATCAACAGCACAAGAATAACAAATAAAAAGAATAAACAACTCTCACATAGCGTCAAATAGACGGTGGGCCGAACGCTGCTATCTGCTTTAGTTTTTGAAATGATAGATCCTCGAGGATAGAGTAGCTGCTTTTTTCACATAAACTAAATAATTTTTTTATGAACACGTATCCGTTTGTTGGCAGTGTCAAGTCGATCATAGTTTTTTGAAAACTAAATTTACGTTTAATAAACGGATGAGGCACACGCGAGGGAGTACTATACATCTAACCAATCAAAAACGAATTCTATCGTCACGTGACTAACGTCTGCCAATAGTATTCGTTCAAAATATAATACCATTACCACGACTGTAGCGTAGCACATGCGTTCGCTAGCTAGCTAGATCCATGAGTTCACACCATAAAATCTTCTCTAATGAAATCTACACAATCAAACATTTTCCAGCAGGAATCCTATCCGAAGACGAGAAATATTAACAGCGGCATCCAAGATTCCAGGTGTAATGGCTCAGGTAAATACTGCTGTTTATACCTGTCTTATAACGTTAGCTTAGTGCATGAAGTCTGTAAACCGTTAACATAATAGGTTATTCCGGATTATGTTTGTATTTACAGGTAACGTTAACGTTCCACTAGTTAGAAATGACATACAGATCACAGAGAAGAAAACGTAAACAGAGTTATTCTATCAGGCTGTACAGTAGCGCCATAAATTAGGATATGAAAGACGAGGATTACTAGACAGAGTAATCTCTCTAATCAAAGACTCTGCTTATTACACACACACACACTGCTTATTACACTCTGCTAATTACACACACACTCTGCTTATTACACTCTGCTTATTACACACACACTCTGCTTATTACACACACTCTGCTTATTACACACACACTCTGCTTATTACACTCTGCTTATTACACACACTCTGCTTATTACACACACTCTGCTTATTACACTATGCTAATTACACACACACTCTGCTTATTACACACACACTCTGCTTATTACACTATGCTTATTACACACACACTGCTTATTACACACACACTCTGCTTATTACACACACACTGCTTATTACACACACACTCTGCTTATTAAACACACACTCTGCTTATTACACGCACAAACATGCCAAATATTTAAAATAAAAGGATTACAATGTAAAAGATTATTATTGTGTACATAAAGATATGGTGGAATCCGGCTTGTCCCGTAGAAGGTCTATCTATAGTAACGTTAGGTTGTGTGTAGTTGATGTAATCGTATGTAGCTAGCTAATAACGCAGACTGATCTCATGAAATGGCGTATGTATGACACGCCAATTCGTATTTCCATTTTTGGCGTGCTATCAACACGCATAATCGCTTTTCAGCGTGTTTATCAACGCCTTTGACTTAACGTTATATTACTGTATTATGCATATATAAATATATGACCTACCCCAACCCCGTCCCTAAACCTACCCGTCACTGGGGTTAATACCATTTATGAGTCTTCTCCTACCATCCTAGGAAAAGAAATATCGCTCCACAGATGTAGATATAGATTTTGCTTCGTTTCGCTCGGACATTTAACGGCGTACACATACACGCGGAATCACTCGGATGTTTAATGGCGTAGACATACACGCAAAAGATTTCGGCGTGGACATACACGCGGATATTTCAAAATGCGTATAGATAACACGCCACTTGAATTGAAAGTGGCGTGTATGTTTACGCAAAGTCATGATGTCATGTTGAATAACGTAACATGTTATCTCTTCCATGACTAGCTATTAGGTGATGTAGCTAGTAGATGTAAACTTATATGATAAATGTTATCTTTTCCACTTTAGATAAAGGGAATGTGATATGACGCTCTTATTGGTTTCCTCCCGTTACGCCCAAACCACACCTAT